CAGTAGAAGCGAAGTCTGAACTCAAGCATTCTGAGCTGAGAAAGGGCTTGACCACTATGTTCTTCATCTATTTTCTATTAAAAATGCAATTGCGGAAGTTGAAGCAGTAGTATTGCAAATAGTGCGCTTGCCTTGGTAGAGGCAACCAGTGTTCAATCCCCAGAACTTCATATAATCCTCCAACTTCACCAGGATTGACCCCTGAGTGTGGTTCATAAACAAATAAAACATGCAAGTGCTGGGGGTAAGGGTGCTGTGGGGGTGGCAGAGGGGTTAAGGTACCCCCAACTCCTAGTTCTACCCCTACCCCTATCAACACTGCCAGGTACAACTGGCAAATCAATAATTAAAATGGTACAAGCACTGTCAAATTATAGACCATCTTCTATATGCTTTCTAATCTTTGCATTTTCTATTCTCTTTTCCTAGTGTCTTTTTTCATTCTTTAAATAGAAGTTAGAATATCACCTCCTCTTGGGAGCCTTCCCTGATCCCTCTGGTCTGCTACTCCCATAACACATTCTCTTTGTTTCCTTTCACTGGCATTCATACCCTTTAGTTACACAGTTGCCCACAAATCTGCCTTCCCTGACTGTCTGCTGAAAACCTTGTGAAACCAGGGAGCATGTTATCAGGCTCATGTGAATGGTATTCCCCTGAGCCAAACTAGGCTCTTAATATGTATTTTGAAACACCTAGTGAACCTAGCTGTGAAATTCTTAGCAAACACTCTACAATGGATTAGCCTGGAAGGGCAAAACTCAAATCAGGTTTTAAAACTGTTGTAAGATCTATGAGTAGGGTGGGTAGGTAGGGAGGCAAGTGGCCTGGAAAGGACAGTGGGTCAATATATAATGAGTTCAGTATATTATGACAGGTACACACACCTTGTCTTTTCAGCACTCCCAAAAGATTCAGTTGACTAAATTTGGACATGCTGAGCATCAAACATTTTCAGACTTTCCTCTTATGACCTGAGTTTTTTTTTAATTTCCTAATCACCACCATGACAGTAACATTAGAACCATCTCTGAGGATGGGACCCCTTTCGAGTTTGTGCAGGCGATTTCAGTATGTAGTCTACATTGGAAAGCACCGATATAGGCCACTGGCTAATTGTGTTGAAAATTCAGCAGCTCTAAGAACTGTTTTATCCTATGGAGGGTCATACCACCCTATTGGGAGCCACCTATCAGGCTCCACTGCAGGAGAGGGTGGGGGATAAGGATAGCTGGAGTGACAAGGCACTTGACATAAAAGGAAGAGGCCATACTGCTCGTGAGCATGACTGGTGGCAACGATGGTGCTGGGAGACTGAAACAGAGGCAAGAGGGAAATTCCTTTGCCCTGAAGTCCCTTTGGAATGTTGGAATCTTATTTTTTAAACTATGGTTATGTAATATGTATTGTTTTGGTTTGGTTTTGGGATCAGACCCAGTGGTGCTCAGGGTTAACTCCTGGCTCTGTACTCAGGGAATCAATCGTTGACAGGATTAAGAGACCATATGGGGTGCTGGGATGCTGGGTTCAACAACTTATCCCTGTATTATCTCTCTGGCCCCCATGGTATATACTGTATTTTAAAGGCACTAAAACTTTGCATTTGTTCCTAATAAAATATGTTAATTTTTATTTATTTATTTTTGGCCACATCTGGCACTGCTCAGAGCTTATTCTTCTCTTTCACTCAGTGATCACTCCAAGTAGGGCTCAGGGGGTCTATAATGGGTGCCGGGGATCAAATCCTGGTTAGTTACGTGTAATGAAGCACCCTAAAAATTGTACTATATTTCCAACCCTCAAATATGTTTCTTTCTAATATTAATCCTTCCAGTTTTCTAGTGTTTGTATTGTTTGTATAGAATATTTTTCAATATTATATTTCATAGACATCACTTTAAATTTAACCTCCTTGAGTTTTTGATTACAAGCACTTTGGATCTTGATTGGATCTTGACTTTTTATCCTATTTGACAAACACCCTTATGATTAGAGTAAGCTACGATGTTAGTTTTAGAAAGTTTTCAAAGTTGCTATGATAAACATGTGACAACTGTAGACTAAAATCAGCATAAAGAAACAAAAAAATAAAAGTGGATGCTTGAGAAAAATCAAAGAAAAGGAGAAATAGAGAAAAAGAAAGTTAAGTCAATGAAAATAAAAGGGCAGGTCTGGAATTCCTATAAAACAAGATTCATTTTATATATAATAAAGACCAGTGATTTGTCAACAAAGTGAATTTTATGGGGCCTCATCATTGGGTGCTAGTAGATTCTGGATATAACAGGAAAATTATAAAGATATACTTAAATCTTTCCAATTTTAGTATATGTGCTGCTGAAGCGATCAGTGGTGGTGGAGAATGGGCACTGGTGGAGGGATAGGTACTCAATCATTGTATAACTGAAACCCAAGCACAAAAATTTGTAAGTCTACAACTGTATCTCAGGGTATTTCACTAATAAAAATTTTAAAAAGATATACTTAAATCTTCAAATAATTTTTATTATTTTGTTGTTTACATTCAACTCTTTTATTATTTTGTAGTTTTATATTCAACTCAAATGATCCAAATTTTCTATGTACTTAATAACATATTTTAATTTAACTTAAATCTTTCCAATTTTAGTATATGTGCTGCTGAAGCGATCAGTTATGGTAGAGAATGGGCACTGGTGGAGGGATGGGTACTCGATCATTGTATAACTGAAACCCAAGCACAAAAATTTGCATGCTGAAAGTAGACTATAGACCAAACATGATTGCCACTCAATGCCTCTTTTGCAAACCACAACACCCAAAAGGAGAGAAAGAGAACAGAGGGGAATGCCAGGGTGGGATGGGGAGGATGGGGGGTGGGAGGGATACTGGGATCCGTGGTGGTGGGAAATGGGCACTGGTGGAGGAATGGGTATTTGATCATTGTATAATAAAAACCCAAGCACAAAATTTGTAGTCTACAACTGTACCTCATGGTGTCTCACTAATAAAAAAATTTAAAAAAAAGAAAAAGAAAAAATTGTAAGTCTACAATTGTACCTCATGGTGTTTCACTAATACAAATTTTTAAAAAAAGATATACTTAAATCTTCAAATAATTTTTATTATTTTGTTGTTTACATTCAACTCTTTTATTATTTTGTAATTTATATTCAACTCAAATGATCCAAATTTTCTGTCCTTAATAACATATTTTAATTTAACTGTTCAAATACATTTTTTTCAAAATATAAGCACATTTATAATAGAAACTTATTCTTTATAAGAATGAAAGTAGGGGCGAAGAATATGAGTCAAATGGCAGAGCACACGCCTTGTATGCGTGAGGTCTGGGTTGAGGTTGGGCCCCACACTAGGGTGAAAGTTGTGAGGATAATTGCAAACTTCCTAGCTCACTGGGACTTCTGCTTGTGGAGTCTCTGGGTGCAGCGCTAGCTGATGGCCCAAGGCATCACACATACAACATTCCTTCTGTTGGTTAGTCGGACAGCACTGGGTTCTCCTCTGGACACTACACTTCCTACTTCTCTCTGGAATTTTAGACCATCTGAGCTTTCCCCACAGTGACTCATGGAGGGGTGTTTCCCAGCGTCTGGCTGTTTACTGGCAACCTCAAACGTTTTCAGGGAAATAGACCAATTTCAGATCCCAGATTTAGCCAGCTAGACCACCTTGAAAGGGCAAATGTGTTTCGAGAGGATTGGGAAGACCCTACATCTTATTACCCCCATTTTAAAAGCTTTTTTTGTGTGTGTGTGTGTTGTGTAGAGTTCAGAGGTTTAGGTACTTGCCTTGCATTCTGCTAACCCCAATTTTTGATCCCTAATACTGCATCTGGTGCCCTGAGCAATGCCAGGGTCATTCCTGACCCAGAGCCAGGAATAGCCCATGAGCACCACTGGATTTGGCTCCCAAAACAAAAATGCTTTCTGTGCATGATTTGAATTTTTAAAGCATGTATACGTACTTTGCCAATAAAAGTTTTGAAGGTATAAACAGCACCAGAGAAACTCCCAGATATCACTAGCCAACTCTGTGATGGGAATAGGAGACAGATGCCAATCAGGGGAGGGTGCACCCGGGACTCAGCAGGGGCCCTTTAAAGACTCTGGTGCCACCCTGGGTTACGCTGGGAAAGCCGAGGTCCACCTCTGCTTGTGAAATGGATGCTCCCTTTATGTCTGTCCTAGGCTTGGGGTAGCTTTTTTACATATAAACATATAGATAACTACATATCTCCATTCACAAGCAAAATATTAAATGTTCAGTTTCCTACCAAACACTCCCCTACTCAGGTTAATCTAGACCTGGGGGTCCTCTGATTGATACTTTCAAAAAATCTAAATTAAGGGCCAGAGAGATAGTACAGAGAGTAGGATACTTGCCTTGTATGTGGCAAACCCAGGTTCAACCCCCAGCATCCTCCTCATATAGTTCCCCAAACTCCTCCAGATGTGATCCCTGAGCATAGCGCCACAGGAGCAAGCCCTGAGTAGAGCTGCACATGGCCCCAAAATGGAAAAAAAAAAAGGATCTAAACAACAACTGAAGCCCCAAGCTGATCACAGTGGAGGATATCATTTCAAATGTGTTCACAAGAAAAGAAAGATGCACCTATTTGTGGAAACCAGTTCTGCAAGAGTTGGGTTAAGGAAAAAAGAGTTCAAAGTACACGTGTGGCCAAGGAAATGAGCTAGGCAGAGAAGATGGCTGATAGAGGTGCTCTGAGGGTCATTGTGTAACTTGACTTTCTTCTAGTCCCACACCAATTCCAACTGCATGGGCTCTTGTTTGTTTTGTCTTGGGGCCACATCTGGCAATTCTCCAGGGTTACTCCTAGCTCAGCACTCAGGAATTACTCCTGGAAGTGCTCTAGGGATCCTGTGGAATGTCAGGGATCAAAGCAGGTCAGCCACATGCAAGGCAAAAGCCTTATCCTTTGTACTTTCACTCAAATCCCTCTTCTTATTCTTTTTTCCCCCCTTTCAAATAACTTTTTAAAAACTATGGAGTTCTTCACAAATTTGCATGTCATTCTTGCTCAGGGGCCATGCTAATCTTCTCTGTATTGTTCCAGTTTTAATCTATGTGCTGCTGAAATGAACACTCTTCTTTTTCAAATGGCTCACGTTTGTTACGCATAAGTTCTACCCCTGAGACAAATCCCCAGCTTCCATTTGACAACTCTTAAAGGAGTCCAGTGCCAGGTGGAACAAGGGCTACTTCTCAGGAAGGCAGTTCTCTACCACCCGAGGTCATGCAGCAGCCTGAGCAGGCTGGGCAAGAGGTGTCCCCAGAGTTGACCCCTCCCTGCATCAAGAGCCCATGTGGTTGGAAGTGGTGTGAGACTAAAAGAAAGTCGAGTTACACAATGACCCTCAGAGCACCTCTATCAGCCATCTTCTCTGCCTAGCTCATTTCCTTGGCCACAAGAGTACTTTGAACTCTTTTTCCCTTAACCCAACTCTTGCAAAAGCTGGTTTCCACATACAGATGCATCTTTCTTTTCTTGTGAACACATTTGAAGACTGGTAGGCAAGACTGGGTTGTAGAAAGTTAGAGAGGAGATAGTTTGCCATGAAGTACCATGAATTTAGTTACTGAGGAGCAATTTCTTTTTAGTAGAAAAACTGGATGAAGCCAAGAATTGTGCAATTGTGACCTCACCCGGACTACCTACCTATCTTTTGAGCAAAGGTGTCTCCATCTGCAGAACAGCCCTACCTCGCTAAGGCGGCCTGTGGGTGAGACACACACCTGTAATTAGTGTTGAGGAGGTGCAGTAGGATGTCATAAAATTCCTGCATGAGTGCCAAGATGGGGGAGGACAAGAGAGGAGGAGAGTCCTGGCCCACTCCCTGGGCTCGAGCGGCAGAACTCAGTCCCTGGGACTGGGATGATGCCCACCCATGGGCCCCGGAGGATCCCGAGTAGACCTTCCGGGTGATTGTTCAGATTCCCTCTGCCCAGATGCACCAGGCTGGGTGTGGGACGAGGCCCTCAGCTGCTCTCCTGCTTCTTTACAGTTTTACTCACATGCGCTCATGACCCCTGGCCTACTTCTGCTCTGTTGTGGCATGTCAGGTAATTAGTATGTGGAGCAAACTCCTTGACTCAGTAACTGATAAACCCTCTCTCTGCAGTGAGGTGCAGATTCGGATCCACTTTGGGAAGGAACATGTGTGAGGTCAACTCTGGGTTTTTCAGTCCATCTGAAATGCCTCCCCTGATGAGCTCTTCTAAGTTCCACTTAAACGTATTTGCCTATTTGATTCTATTACAAACAAACAAAATACTTATTTTCCTTCTGGGTTTTTTTTGGTTTTTGTTTTTTTTGCTTTTTGGTCACACCTGGCAATGCACAGGTGTAACTCCTGACTCTGCACTCAGGAATCACTCCTGGCAGTGCTCAGGGGACCATATGGGATGCTGGAAATCGAACCTGGGTCAGCCGCGTGCAAGGCAAACGCCATACCCACTTAGCTCCAGGCCACCCTTCTGGGGTTTTTTTTTAACAATGATTGTCTAATCTTAAGGGATCTCAAATTCAGTGTTTAAAATTCAGGAACTGAAGATTTGTGAGAATTTCATCTTGCATGTATAGCTGCTTCGCCAATCCTAACACTGTTTTCTTTTTGTTTTAGTGCCAAGGATCCAACTCAGAGCCTCACACATGTAAGGCAATGCTCTGCCACTGAGCCACATTTGTAGCCCCAACCCTAATACTTTTGTTTTGTTTTGTTTTGTTTTAGTTTTGTTGGACTGGAGCAATAGCACAGCAGGTAGGGCATTTTCCTTGCACATGGCCGACCCAGGTTCAATTTCTCCATCCCTCTCAGAGAGTCCAGCAAGCTACCGAGAGTATCCTGCCCGCATGGCAGAGCCTGGCAAGCTCCCCGTAGTGTATTCGATATGCCAAAAACAGTAACAACAAGTCTCACAATGGAGACGTTACTGGTGCCCACTCGAGCAAATAGATGAACAGTGGGAGGACAGTGCTATAGTGCTTTAGTTTGGGGGGCTACAGCCAGCAATGCTTAGAGGTCATGCCTGGCAGTGCCCTGGGAACCAAGAAATGATAGGAAATGAATCCTAACCTCACCATGCAAGGCATGTGCTCAAATCCACTGAGCGCTCTCTCTCTCTCTCTCTCTCTCTCTCTCTCTCTCTCTCTCTCTCTCTGCCTCCTCCCTCCATGGGCTTGAAGAGCAAGCTCAGTACTATTTTAAAATATTGTAATTTCAGAGATGTGTGCCACTCAAACATATTGAGCAAAGTAGTGCGAGGCTGATATTCCAGGTGCATGACTTAAGAATTCACTCTGAGCATTCATTAAAGCAGGGTTCTGTGGAGCGGAGGCTGTGAAACAGACCCAGGGAAAGGGCTTCTGACCCCTCTGCTGCAGGCTGTGTGCCAGGCAAAGCTCTCTGACAGGGCGAGGGAGCAGGTTTTCCGGGCTGAATCCTTTCATAATCACCTGGCTGCCTTCCAATCCACCCTGTTCCCTTTCTTCATCTCGTTTGCTTCTTCCTCCCTCATAACTTTTGGCCCTCCAATGCTTCCCTTTCCTCCCTTGCTCACCCTGGATGGCCCTGCTTTCTCTAGGGAGCAACTTGATCTCACACTCATGAAGACACCCCAGTCTTCAAGCAAGTCTGAATGTCTTAAAGTTTTACCCCAATCTGTCCCCAACCAATGTGGTAGCTTCCCTCTTCTTCTCACTTGTGCTGCTGTGTCTCCCCCGCAACCACCCCCACCATCCCACTTTCCTGGGAGACCCTCTGGGGAAGCCCTCGTTGCATGATATCTCCTTAGAGGGGACTTTCTGCAGACGCCTTGCCTCTGGTTTTGCTCACACTTTGAGGAGTCGTCTCCCTCTTGAGATAGGACATTTCATGAGGGTAGAGAATGAGAGTTTGCATGTTTATAGTCTCCCTGAAGAGTATCACTTAATCACTTAACTTCCCGTTAGTCGTCGATTTGCTCGAGCGGGCGCCAGTAACGTCTCTATTTGTCCCTGTTGTGTGCTAGTGTAGCCCAATGGCATCTGTTCATTCTGGGAACATGAAGGGCCTCAAACCAATCGTTCATTATCTTCACGAAGAAGTCTGACCATCTGGTAGGTGGGCGGCCATGTGGTCTTTTGACATCCCGTGGAATTCAGTCGGTAACAGCTCTAGTCCAACGGTCGTCTTTAAATCTCATTACGTGACCAGCCCATCTGATTTTCGACACCTTGGCTAATGAGACAGCGTCCCTGATTCTTGATCTTCGACGGATGTCAGAACTCCGGATTCTTTCTCTCATTTGAGTGAAACGTGATATTCCAAGCATAGCTCTTTCTATTCTTCTTTGGGAGACCTGAATAGCGTTCTCATCTTGTTTGCGTAGGGCCCAGGTCTCTGAGGCATATGTTAATGCAGGAAGAACAGTGGAATCAAAGAGATGTGCCCGAGCCGGAGGTTCTTCGTCCTCTTAGCTATTTCTTCGACGTTCTTGAAGGTGTTCCAAGCCGCTCTCTTCCTCCTGCGCAGCTCGGGTGCCAGGTCATTTGTCATGTTGACCTCTCGACCTAGGTACACATAGCTGTTGCATTCAGAGATGGTCGTTCCGTTGAGAGCGAATGGGGCATCAGGAATGAGGCTGTTTCTCATAAACATTGTCTTCGTAAGATTCAGCTGTAGTCCTACCTTTCCATACTCACGGTCAAAGTCGGCCAGCATTTGTGCCACTTGGCTGATGTTTGGTGTTATTAAAACAATGTCATCAGCAAAGCAGAGGTGGTGTAGTTGCCGACCATCTATCTTCACTCCCATTCCTTCCCAGTAACTACAACCAGTAACTACAACTGGTCTCATTCACCTGACCCTGAAGGCTTCACCGACATGGCAGCACTGAGAAGGATGAGAAAGGAGAAACCGACAAAATCTCAAGGCCGACCTAGGCTGCCACAATGAAGGAAGACAAAAATGATCGTCTGTACTTTCAATGCACGTACACTAGCATCAGATGCATCCATCGAGGACCTGATGGTACAAGCGCGAATGATCAAGTACGACATCATTGGTCTGACCGAGACAAGAAGGCACGAATCTCACCATGCCATTTTTGACACTGGAGAAGAATTGTTCCTCGGAACATGCAATAAAAGAGGTGTTGGAGGCATCGGTGTCCTTGTCAACACAAACTTGGCCAAGAGCATTGATTCATTCGAATGCCTAACAACCCGAATCGGACATTTACATTTGAATAGATGTGGCTCACTGCCTGCAGTTTCTATCTTCGTTGTCTACACACCAACATCTCATTTTGATGAAAGAGAAATCGAGAAGTTCTACATGGAGCTAGAGAAGTTCTATAAAGAAGACCACACCTTCTACAAGATCATTGTGGGTGATTTTAATGCCAAGATAGGACCGAGAAGATCAGCTGAAGAACTTCACATCGGGACCCATGGCCTAGAATGGAACGAACAGGGTGAGAGACTGTCTGAGTTCATCATATTGACCAAGACCATCCATGGTAACTCACAGTTCCAGAAGGCAGAATCTAAACGTTGGACATGGGAGTCTCCCGGTGGACGACTCCACAACGAAATAGACCACATCATATTCAATCGACAGTTTTGCCTGACTGATGTCGTTGTTGTCCCAAAATTTCAAATGGGATCAGACCACCGTCTCCTTCGTGCAAAATTCTACTTCACAAGCGGGGAGAAAGGGCTGCAAAGTTCAAAAAGAGAACTCCCAGAATGACCACCAACTGGGAACTCTTTGGTACTATTGCGGCAACATGGGAAGACGCCATTGTTGACAACACTGACGAGGAATACGATCGACTGGTTCAGCACCTCCATGAATGTGCGAGGAATGCCAAGAAAGAGATAGCCACAAAAAAACGCTTGTCTTCGAAAACTCTTGAGCTAATTCGCCAGTGTGGTTAGGCGCATGCCTCAGGCAACTGCAAGCTAACGTCCAAGCTCGCAAAGCAGTGCAGAGATGCGATCAAGGAAGACCTCAAAGAGAGAAGAGCAGAAGTACTGGTAGATGCAGCAGAAGCCGGGAAAAGTATTTGTAACGCCCGCCTGTCCTTCGCCAACTACAAGAC